AAAAAACCTATAGAAATCCAACCACATTCGGTGTCCTAGTGCCCTTGGTAATTCTTATTCGAAATTCAGTAAACATTTTGATTGACATGACTTGCTTGACTCAAGGGAATTAGTGCTGTCAATCATTCGTGATTGACAGGATCTTTGTCTTGGGTCAAACCAATCAGTGTTAGCAAAAGCTGCTTAATAATGCATTTCTTATAATATATTCATGAATTATACCCATCTTTGAAAATCACTTAACTGTAAGTACATGTCGCCGAGAACAATAGCCATTCTGCCCGATGTTAAGATCGATCGACCTAAGAGACATAACACCAGGGCAGTTTCAAACATTCGGATCTGCGGTTTTCAGTAGTGTGGTTATTTTAAGAAGAACGAAGAGTTTGTCAACAACTTTTGCAGGGCAAGATGGTTTTTCCCTTTCTTGTACGTTTAGTGATCTGTGCCATAATGTCTGCTGTGGCGATAGCTCACAACGACAGGGTAAACTATTTTAAACAAATCTTTTATCAATAAGTATTTGGATTTGTAGGTTGGAGTCATAATATTTTCGGAAAATATTGACGCAATTGATTGTGATTCAAGCCAAACATATTTGGGAAAATAAACAACACTAACGTTGTACTGCGAGAGTCGGAGTCGTTAAATCAATCAATCCATAACGATGTTTTTTTTTACTTCAACAATTTACAGCTTCAGTGGACGACTAATTACCTCATGAATAATGGGCAAGGCACACACTTACACACACTTCTTCAACAATTTACAGCTTCAGTGGACGACTAATTACCTCATGAATAATGGGCAAGGTATGTGAGTAACAATTCGAATCTAATTTTGGACTCACTAAAGAGTCGGCAAACCCCAAGTCGAGATCTGTTGTCTACCGCGAGAGATTCCTTATACACCAGGAGCACTTGCTTTTCAGAGTCGAAGCCCAACGGATTGCTGTTTTCGTTCATTTGTTTTTCCATGCGGATCCAGTGATAGCAAAAGCGGTAGAGTGCCAGTTTCTTTGGGCCAAACAAAACATTTGCTTACTCTGAGCCCCCGAGGAAGTCSTAACGATGAATATAAACAGAGTGCATCGCCAGCAGAGATATACATAGTCTGAATATCAGGCGCTTGGGATTGAGCCTGATACTCAGGTTATGATATAAGGAAGGCGCAGATAGTAAAGAACAGTTTTGATAGTTCTCTTAATTAACTTTCAGGAGAAGAAAATAACAAAGAAAATCCAGGCAAGGTATGGCAAAGAACAAACTAAATTCGTCGTACTAAATTGCAAAATATCCAATACAGGYTCAAGAAGGTTAATCAGTATTTATAAGTCTACTAAATGCCTGATAAGTTCGTGTTCCCCGCATGGAAAGTTCAGATCGACTGACCAAAAACCAGACAAAAAACTGTTTCACCTGAAATTTCAACACAATTCGCTACTCTCTTTAAGTTCTTCTTACATTGRCCAGCTCTTTTAGGATTAACACAAAACTGCACTCAGGGAAAAGTAGCTGTTAATCGTAGTTATTTACATGATATGTGATTATTCGGATTTCAGAACATTTCGATCCCACGTTCTTGTCTTGAGCATTTGAAAAATGGAGAAACTGGAGCCAAGGACTTCAGCATCATGACACCAAACGGACTACAGCAAGTGTTCTGTGACCTGAGGTCTGAACCTGGCTCTGCCTGGACACTAGTGTTATCCCATCGAATGGAATACAGATTTAAAGATAACATCGCCCCCTTCCAGAAATCCTTGAACATGAACCTTCCGGTCAACGACAAGTCCCCCAACTACAACATGTACCGTATGACGCTTGCCCAGATGACCAACATCAAATCCCATTCCACTCATTGGCGTGTCACCTGCAATGGAGCTTCATGGGTAGACTATCGTGATTACCTCCGCGTTCGCTTTGCTGACCYGGACCCCCTGACCTTCCTTGGCGGAGCAACKTGTAAGAAAGTCGAGTACATTAACATTCGTGGTCACGTGGGTATTGAGGTCACAGTTCCATTCTGGCAGTATGCTAATTTGGAGATGCTTCATCATGACAGCACCGCAGGTTCTTGTTCATTTGGTGCATCCAAAGGTTACTCGCCCAGTGAAGACAATTTTGGCTTTTACAGGGCAATTAACAAAAAGTTCAGGTGCTCAGCGAGTGATTCTTCGACTTCCAACATGTGGTTTGGTGCCTATCTGTAATCGTTCTTCATTCACGCTTCATTATAAATAAAAGTAATAAAAAAATGAAATTAAAACTGATTTAATTGATAAATAGTAGTGGGGTTTAGACAATCTGGATGTAAACTATGTTTGTCAGATCTCTAAATGAAGCTATTTCAAATAAAAACTCTAGAGAAGCATACAAAATTTTACTTTCGTTTCATGATCACGATCAGTTTTTATATCGGTATATAATAAAAAGAGAAGTGGTCCTGGTACTGAAGCTAAGGTCCACCACAGGATAAAATCCAGGATACTGTGGAAGAGTTGCAGAGTTAGTGCATTCAAGTGAGACGCCTATTGTATTCTATCAAGAGCTATTAAGAGCTCGATTTAACTTTAAATAACCTAGGAAAGAAACGTTCAAATGCGTAGCTGATCTGTCGGGACATGTCCAGAGAGTTGGTCAAGATCAATGTAACTCAAGCAGGAAGAATAAGCCTGCGTGCAACCCAACACAAACCTAACCTAACCAACAGTTTGTGATCACATGCACTCAGGCTAGTAAGAATGATATATAAGCGTGCAAAGGATACTGGTGTATCCTCCTTTGTTATCGCTTCAAAAAGCGTACGATTAATTACGATTAATTACGGCGTTAGGGGATGTCCGTACCCTGCGAGCAGAGTCTCTTTTTAACTCCTCTACGGGCGAGAGAAGGAAAGGTAGGGATGTCCGGTGCACCGAGAGACACCCACTGGATCCGCCCCTGGTAATATAATCCAGACATGTGATGATATGATCATTTAGCCTGCGTCACATCCGGAATTTTCGAAAATTCCGGATGTGACGCAGGCTAATGATCATTATGCTCTCGTTAAATCCTGTTCATCAGTTTTGGAGTCGTCATTTTTATTTTATCTGGTACGGGTAAGTGCGTGTAAGAAGACTTCGTTCAGGACCCAAATTTTGCTGAGACCTCAATTTCTTGTTGAAGTGAAGATGATTCGTCTCTTTCTGGCCGTGTTAATGATATCTGGGATGACATTTTCAGTGTCGTTTGGCCAAAAAGCCAACAAGGTAAAAGAAATGTTGAGCATCATTTATATGTAACGGAATCCGAGTTTATTAACACTTCTATTCGTTTAAAGTCAAAGAACAACGGTTTATAACGGATTTTGTGGTAAAAATAGTTAGTAAATGCGTAAGTAAAAGTTTATTCAACTTTCTCTTGCATAGCTCCCTTGGCGTAAAAAGGTTCTAATCCTTCCGGTCGACTAAATATCTCAATATCTAAATTTCACTAGTACAAAACTAGTTTTTGTCGGTTACTTGAAATAAAACTAGGGGAAGAATTAAGATAAATTCCCGATTCACGCAGTACTCAACCATTCCTAACGTTCAACCTTTAATTTCTTCATTAACAGAAAAATTCTGGGAAGAAGGAAAATTTTAATACCTTGAAATTTGTTTCTGCATTATTAAATTTCATGAGCGCCATCCGGTTACTTTGAACAATCAGAATATTCTACAATYGTGCAAAAGCGCTTTCATAATTTGTCCCTCTTGCCTTCTTACCAAAAAATGTTGTTGACATCAATATACTTGCCATTTGTTTTTGAATTTCAGAGAAATAGGCCTGCTCGTTCATGTCTCGATCACCTGAAAAGAGGTGAAACTGGATCCCAGGTCTTAACCATCACGACGTCAAATGGACCACAACAAGTATTGTGTGACTTTAAGTCTGAACCTGGCTCGGCCTGGACACTAGTGTTGTCCCATCAGATGGAATATCGACATAAAGATACCATCGCTCCTTTCAAGCAGCCCTTGAACACGAACCTCCCGGTCAACGAAAAGTCCCCCAACTACAACGTGTACCGTATGACGCTTGACCAGATGACCAACATCAAGTCCAATTCCACCCATTGGCGCGTTACCTGTAATGGTGCTTGGGTAGACTATCGTGATTACCTACGTGTTCGTTTCGCTGACTTGGACCCCTTGACCTTCATGGGTTCAGGTGTGTGTAAGAAAGTCGAGTACATTAATGTTCGTGGTCACGTAGGTATTGAAGTCACAGTTCCATTCTGGCAGCTGGCCAATAACAATTATAACGAAATCCTCCATCATGACAGCAGCGCAAGTCGTTGTTCATTTGGTGCAACTCCAGGTTACATTTCCAGTGAAGACAACTTTGGTCTGTATCGGTTTATCAACCCAAAGTTCAGATGCTCAGCGAGTGAATCTTCGACTTCAAGCATGTGGTTCGGTGCCTATTTGTAATCAGGGCTTGAATTCTTCTGAACGGAAACATCAATTTACGAAATGAAAAATTAAAATTAACATAACTCAGTTGAATGATCAATGTAACGGCACGTATGACAATCTAGATTTTAAATGTTGCATTGTTAATTCTCTAAATGAAACTATACAATTAAATAACAAGCAGGGAAAAAAGTGGGGTTTTTTTTCGTTTATGTTACTAATCAAGATAGCACTTGAGGATTTGGGTAAGGGTTAATCGAGGTTAAAGTAGGCACTCCAACTATTAGTCAGCTCCTAACCAAAAGTCGCTCTTGCGACGCTAAAGGCTCGATTTGGTCAAATATAATTGCTAGATAGCAAACTAGAACGAGCGATAAATTGCGGCAAAATATTAGGGGGAAATCCGTTTTATATGTTATTAGATTCCTTAAGAAATATTGCATGTATTCGCTAAAAGTAGCACAGTAGCATATATCATGCTGTTTTAAACGATAATTCTCACGATATGCTCTAAAATGTTCGTTGCGTTTATAATTTTATCGTGTCTCGGCTGAAGATTACTTTAAATCCCCTCTTTGTTGTACTATCCAAACTCTCGGGGGAAAAGGAAAGGAAAGGATGGAAAGGAAAGGGGAAAAAGGACCTAAACAAGCCGTTGCAAAGGGCGAGTCGGTATTTCATAGTCAGCAATCCTGTGACCTGGTCGCAAGATCCTAGCTTCCGGTCAGTAGAATATCCCATAGCCTACGATTTGGCTAATGAGTAGGGTCTGCGAACGAGAACGCTAACTCATTAGAACTCATTCTCAATTTAAGTGATGTAATGTCCCAGATCAAACCCCATTGGCCATAACAGACATTAACTTGTTGAAACACGTTCTTCGTTTGCTTCTTAAATCCCGTTTTCAGCCTTGTTCGTTAAGTAAATGCGCTCGAGAAAATTTCTATCAGGACCCAAGGTTTTTTCGAGAAACGAAATCTCTGCTGATGTGAAGATGATTCGTCCCTTTCTTGTAATGMTGATTATCTCTGAGATGAGTTTTCCCTTGTCGCTGGCCAACAACGCCAACAAGGTACCATTTAAAAACTTATTAACGCTTAGTTGCCTTTAATAAAGAAAGCGAATGACGGCGGAGGGTTTGCCGCATTTAAATTATGCACTTTATCTAATATCAGTAACCATTCCTCTATTTCCTAAATATATCCACAGAAAGTCGGTGAGGCCAACGGCATTAAGATGAATGACTACGTCATGGTTATGGGAAAAGGTAAGCCCAACTTGCAAACTCTTTGTACCACCTTAAACATGTTAAAGGACTGAAACGAGAGGCAGGGCACAGTAGCCTCTATTATAATTAGTACTGGAATTGAAGAATATGTACAACCTCCATATTATAAGATCCTCATTGCTTAATTTTCATTGATAAGACTCAACTTAAAAGTTTAAATCGAAAATCATAATCCATTAAACAGATTAAATGATGGCGATTGAAGGTTTTAAAAAACCTGTCTGAAACTTTAATTACATAGAGAGAGCTAAAAATGAAATTATTATTCCGGTCTGCCGTTGGATCATTGATCAATCCAAGACTTTCAATTGATCTCCATTAAGAACTGTCAGTATTGTCATTCATTGGAATCTTGTGGCACTTGAAAGCACCGTGGGGAAAAGGACAGACTAAAATGAGGCGGCGTTGTAACTCATTTTTACATGTTCATTTTACATGTTAGATCTGTTACTTCGAATAAGCAGCTAAACTGATACCTAACGTTAAGATTGTTTTTTGATTCACAGGAGAGCGCAGTTATGAAGGAACATACAAGGTAAGTAACGTATCAAGGTCACCTTTGAAAATACTGTTAGTTGTAGACATCAATTTACTAGCCATTATTTTTGAAATTCAGAGAAATGAGCCTGCTCGTTCATGTCTCGATCACTTAAAGAAAGGAGAATCTGGAGCCAAGGTCTTCACCATCATGACTCCAAAAGGTCCACAAGAGGTGTTCTGTGACCTGAG